TGGTTAATTAGTATTAACAGCTATTACTCCCAACTATTTCTATCCAACTTGCATCATTCAAATTCCTACATGCAAGCTGGGCCTTGCATTGCATGGAAACCAACTCCAAGAATGGCTCCTGTTTCCAGAAACAGCAAGTAATGTCTCTTGCTTCCCTCTACTTGCAATCAGAATTTCTCTCTTCAGGGCTGGCGAGGTGGCCAGCCTTAACAGTGGTTAAGAGCACTAGCTGCTCTTGCAGAAGACCCAGGTTTGATATCTAGCACCCATGTGGTGGCTAATAACCATCCATAACTCCAGTTCCAGGGGATCCAGCACCCTCTTCTGACCTCTGCAGGCAGTGCACGCAAGTGGTACGCTTATATACACACAGGCAAAACACATACAAAATAAAAAGAAATAAAAAATTTTTTTTAAATTTCTGCCTTCAGAGTATGGTCACTGTCGAGAAGGCAAAGAAAATACGAGGTCTGAGGGTATCTCAAGACATAAAAGCACATACTGAGAAAGTAGAGGCATTTGGTATTCCAACCAACTGGTTAACATGAGAATCAAATTTAATTTTCTTGAAGGGCACTACAAAACCCTTAGAGCCCAAAGTTTCATTCTTGTAAGCAAAGCGACCTAAATAAGAGTATGGGATTTGCTTGTACACCATAAGGAACAAAGTTTTTCCAAGTCCTGCTTGGATTTGAAATCAGAATTTCCAAAGGGCTGGATTATCCCGTAAGCTCTAAGATGTCTGCAAGATAATGCTTTGTAACAAAGACTGCTAGATTTGGCACATTTATGCCCCCTAAACCTAATGAAACCATTTCCTACTAAAACACCACAAAGACATTCATTAAAATTATATTATTTCAAATACAAAGACTTGAACATTCTTCTCTGTACAGAGCACATTCCCAGAGCACTTTAGCGCATTACCCAACAACTTTCAAAAACAGAAAGGGTCCCACGGGAAGGCAAAGAAAGCACAGATGTAATCAATATACAAAATTAAGGCTTGGCACACAACAAACAAAAGTGCTGTGCTTTAACATAAATTTATGACTGTAGGGGTTGAGAACAGCAAGTATATACTCCCAGCAGGAAGTTGAAAGAAATGGGGAGCCAAGCTGGTAATCTTGTGAGGGGATCAAAGACTTCCTAACAGAGCTGAAACCTCATTCAATGAGGAAACTAAGACCCTGAAAGGTAATTAATTGGCAGCCTGATCATGCAGTTGTCTGTCAACTGATCCAAGGTCCTGATCTAACACTCTGGACCAAAAGTTCTAAACGCTCTTTATTAACAACACCAGTGTCTTCCTTGTCTTTGTGCTGGATGAGGCTCAGTACAATTTTCATTAGAAAGTTACAATATCTCATTTATTTTTATTTTGCTTGCGTGGATATGTGGGTTTGTCTGTGTGTGTATGTGTAGACCAGAGGTCAGTCTTGGGTGGTGTTCATCTTGGGTTTTGTTTGGTTTTTGCTTTTTTGGTTGTTGTTTTGTTTGTTTTGACAGGGTCTCTCACTGGTGGGACCTGAGCTCTGAGGCTCAATGATTAGGCTAGCCTAGCTGGCTCTCAGCCCAGAGATAGCTCCACCTGTCTCCATCTCCCAGCACTGGGATTTTTCTCAAGTGCACACCACCACACCTGGATTTTTAAGTGGATGCTGACACTCAAAACTCGGGTCCTCAAGTTTGCCCAACTCCACAGCCCCCATACCCCTCGTTTTTTTCTTTTTATGTTTATGAGTATTTTGCCTGAATGTTTATAAGTGTACCACATGTGTAGAATGGCCTTGGAGATCAGGAAGAGGGCATCAGATTCCCTGGAAGTGGAGTTATGGGTAGTTGTCAGCCACTGGGTGCTGGGAATTGAACTGAGGTTCTCTCCCGAGAGCAGCCAGTGCTCTTAATTGCTGAGCAGCCTCTCTAGCCTCTCCCTCATTTTCTTACAGATTAATTTTTTTAGAAATGTGTATGTGTGTGGGTGTGGATATGGGTATGTGCAGGTCCCCTGGAGCTGAAGTTAAGCCTCCTGACTTGAGTGCTGAGAACTGAACTTCCATCCTCTACAAGAACATTATGCACTATTAGCCATTAAGCTATCTTTCTAGTGCCACTATCTACTGTTCTTAGAACTTGCTTTCTCAAATATCAAACACAGAAATAAATGCTGAAACTCCATAACAGAAGTATTCAACTGTGGAGAAATTGACCAACCATTAGAATTTCCCGTAACAGCCGTAAATGATGAGAGCAGATCCCAAGTTCATTTTCAGTAAAACAACTAGGTCCAAGGTCTTCCCATAACATTCAATGGATGATTGGCATCATGTGGCACAACACTGCCACTGAATCCCAGTCCTACTGACCCCACCAACAGATGTTCAGACCATGAATTAGTAATACCCATCACCTGATCCTTCTCCATCAACTGCACCCAAAAACTCTTTTTTACATCTCAACCTAGATTAACCCTCTAAAACCTCCCTTTCGCCAGGAAAAAGCTTTTGAGTAGCCTGTGTACACATCTGATACAAACACTGTCACTCAAATCTTCTAGAACACCAAACTCATTTCTCCTACAAACTCCCCCAAATCAGTTAGTTACTTCTGCTTTGAGAGAGGAAAGCCAACCCAATCTGATGTCAGTTACAGATTTCTAGTTAATCAGAGCCAAATGTGGGGAAGCAAACTGTAACAATGTCAATGTAATAACTTCAGTGTAACCACACACACAACAATGTATCTATTCAGTGGCAAGTCTTTCCTCTGCTGGTACCAGACAGTATGTTTTTCCAGAAGCAAAGATGTCCACCAACAAAAGACCAGGGTCTGGGTTCCAGTTCAAAAATCATTATCTGACCTGACATCGTCAGAAAAAAAAAAATCACTGTTCTTCAAACAAAACATACAATTCTCAACAGCTATTGACTTTCAAATAAATTCCAGGATAAAAACAAAACAAACCCTTCATGGTCACAGATCTTACTCATGACCTTAGAGATGTTTCAAAGACTCAATATAAACCTGGGGCTGCCGTATGGTTCAGTGGTTAAGAGCACTGGTTGCTCTTGCAGAGGATCCAGGTTCAATTCCCAGCAACCATATGGCTGTAAGTCCAGTTCCAGGGGAATGCCAGGGGAGCTCTCTTCTGACCTCCGTAGGCATTTCCCAACATGGGTGTACTTACACACATACAGGGAATACACCCATACACACAAAATAAATATTTTAAAAGGACCCAACCAACCCTCAACTTAAGAGTCTTCATCACACTGACTACTGAACAGAAAAATCCTGGGGAAAATCCCTGATAGGCATTAGACTGGGCATTTTATTTCCTTTTCAGAGCTGGAAATACTTGAGTTTGTAAAGTCCCAAAGCCAGCGGCCTCTGCAGTCCTCCAATCCAGTTTTAGGCATGGATTTAAAGTGACCAGGCCTGGAGGGTGGAGATGCAGGGGTGCAGTGGCCCAGGGCTATTGCAGGAGACTGGGGTAATGGGAAGAGGGAGCTGAGGTGCAGTGGTCCAGAACCTTCACCCACCAGGTAGAGGGCTGCAGTGACAGACAGCTCTCCCTGCATCCAAACCGCCCATAGCTGTCAGGCCCACAGTGGAGCTTGGCGCTCACCCTTCAAGGTGGCACTACAGAGCCACCTAGAAACCAGAGAATTCCATTGAAGAGGAGCAAGGCGCATCTGCCACAGCTCACACGTGTGGGAGGAGGCATCGCGCCACAACAGGGAGGATGCGGGTGGCAGGGATGGTGGCGAAGGCAAGGCAGCACTCTGGCAAAGTGGCCGGGCCGCAGGGGAACGGAAGCAGACTAGACTGGAGAGGTCTGGACCAGTGGGGAGGTGGGGGAAGCAGAACAGACAGAGACTGAGGTTTGACCCCAGACAGGCTGGAGGAATTTGCACTGAAGAAAGAGTGGCGGCAGCGAGACAGAAGCGAGGGGGTGGGCCTGGGAGATAAGCGCGGGCGGAACTAGGCAGGGACGGGGCGGGGACAGGAGGGGCGTAGGAAGGCAGATGAGGGGGAGGGAAGCTGGGAAGAGGATGGGAATGAGGAGGGGGCAGGAGGCAAGGGGACAGGCAGGGATGCACAAAGCAGGCAAAGAGGGGGATGGGATGGAGGTGCCAGGGGAGAAGTGAGAGGACGGGGTGGGGAGGGAAGCACCAGAGAGGATGGGAAGGTGGGGAACAGCCAGGGAGATGGGAAGAGTGGGCCTGAAGGGGAGCAACGAGGATGAGGATCATGGGGGAGAGGAAAGATGAAGGGTGAAAATATAGGTGGTGGAAGGAGCGCAAGAGGGGGCGGGGCCTGTATGTAGATGAGGGTAGGTGTGGCGGGAAGATAGAGGGACCAGGGGCGGGGCCTGGAGAAGAGCAGCCAGGGTGCAGAGGTGGGGCGGGGGAAGAGAGGGAGGCAGACAGGGGACCGGGCCTGGAAAGGAGAACAGAGGGGGCAGGAGTAGAGCCAAGGGGCGGAGCCTAGAGAGCAGCAGCGAAGGGGTGGGGCCTATATGTAGATGAGGGTAGGTGTGAGGAAGGGACTTCCGGGGGGCGGGGCCCGTACGAGGCTGTAGGTAAGTGTAGGACAGAAGGGAACACCAGGGAACAAGGCCTCGAGAGGGGCCGCGAGGGGCGGGACCTGATGCATCTGAGGACAAGTATGGGGCCGGGGAAAGATGCAGGGGGGGGAGGGGGCCTGT